TAAACTATTTTAAATATCATATTAACAGAATTACAGAATCATACAGTGGTTTCGAGTGGAAGGACCTTAAACATCATGTAATTTCAAAACATCTGCTGTGGACGGGGTTGCCAACCACTAAACTAGGCACTAGATCAGCTTACCTAGCATCCCATTCTTCCTGGCCTTGTGTCGGTGTTCAGTCAAGTTAGAGAGCTCTCACAGTTTCTTGTAGCGTCAGAATAGTTCTCAGAATCGTTCTGCTTTATTGTGTTCAACATACATCTCACATACCATTCACTTACAATCCAGAAATTCCTGTCCCTCTCATCAGTTAATTGGCCTAACTTCTTCCAAACAACAGTGATAAAGGATGAAAGGTTTCTTAAATGTGATAAGATTAACAATGCATACAAACAGTACCTCTTGTTCACCCTTAGACTCAAACAGATACCATTTACTCTCTGTCTTACACTCCAGATTCACAAGGTTTCACATTGATAGCGTCTATCAAGGAGTCTGATAAACTCTTTGCTGACTTGCTCACAGTTACATCTTCCCCCACAGCCTTGAACACCTGAAGGGATGGGACATCCCTTCTTCTCTGGGCATCCTGTTCCAGTACCTCACCACTATCTCAGAGGAAAATTTCCCATGACATCTAACCTAAATCTCTCTTCTTTAAGTTTACAATTTTCTCCCTGTGTTCTATCACTCTTTACCTGCATGAAAAGTTTATATTGTTCCTGTTTATAAGCTCTTTTTGAGTATTAGAAGGCCACAGTGAAATATCCCTGGAGTTCTCTCTTCTTCAGACTGAACTCTGGCTCCCTCAGCCTGTGTTCATAGGAGAGGTGCTCCAGCCCTCTGAGCATCTTCATGGTCTCTCCCCTGGACCCATTCCAATAGCTCCAACTCTTTCTTATACTGTGTCCCAGATTTGAATACATTACTCCAGATGAGGCTTCACAGGAAAAGAGTAGAGGAGACAATTACCACCCTTGCCTTGCTGTCACCTCTTTTTTGATGCTGCCCAGGGTATAACTGGCCTTTCAAGCAGTAAGTGCACACTGCTGGCTCATATGAAGATCTACATCTACCAAGACCACTAATAAAAGGTGTCTTGGCGAGGTTGTTCTCCAGTTTTTCTCCATGTCTGTACACATATCTGAGGCCTTGTTGAAGGTCACATGCCCACATTTTGAGCTTGTTCAGATCCATTTGGAAGCATTCCCTTCCTTCCATCATATTGCTTTCACCACTCAGCTTGCTGTCATCTGCAGTCTTGCTGAGGTTGCATTTGATCCCATCACCTATGTCACTGTTCAGAATGTAAAGACACTGGTCCCAAGACAACACCTGAGGCACACCACTCATCATCAGTCTTCACCTGGACATAGAGCCATTTATCACAGCTCTCTGGCTGACCTTCCAACAATTCCTTTTCCACCAAATATCCATGCTTTGAACATATGTGTTCCCAAGATAAAGATTAGGATGCGGTATGAGACCCTGTGAAAGACACTGCACAAGCCCAGTAGACATCATCAGTTATCCATCAGTTGTCCACCAATGCAATTACTCTATCAAAAAAGACCATCCATTTGGTCAGAAACTATGTGCCATGACAGACTATGGCTGCCTTGGATCACCTCCTTATCTCTCATTTGTCCTAACATGTCTTCCAGAAGAATCTGTTCAATGATTTTCCCAGGCACAGATTTGAAGCTTACAGGCCTATAGTTCCCTTTTTTTTTCTCCCTTTCTTAGGAATAGGACTGGTGTTTTCCATTTTCCATTCAGCAGAAACTTCACCTTATAGTTACAATTTTTCAAATACAATGGAGAGCAGCTTAGCAACTGCATCTGCCAGCTCCTTCGGGATCATGGGATGAACATGATTCGCCCCATAGACCTGTACACATTCAGTCACATGAGACAGTCTTGAACTTGTATTTTGCTCTCATAGCCTCACCTACAAGTTCAGGGCTGTGAGGTTTGGGGATCTGAGAGACACAAGAAGCCTGGCTGCCAGTGAAGACCAAGACAAAGGTTTTGCTCAGTAGTTCCACTTTCTCCATGTCTGCTGTAGCTAGTTTTTCATTCTCATTTATCAGCAGGAGGACAGTCTCCTTGGCCTGTCTCTTCTGATCAAACAGCCTGTAGAATTCTGTCTTGTTATTTTTCACATTTCTTGCCAAGTTCAATTCCATCTGTGCCTTGGATCTCCTTATTCCATCTCTGTATGTCTGGATTACATCTGTGCATTCTTTCCAGGTGACAAAGCCTTGCTTCCATTGCCTGTACATGCACTTCTTATCTCTCAGTTTGAACTGGAGATCCTTGCTCAGTAATTCCAGTTTCCTTCCTCCTCTCCATATTCTTCTATAGTGGGGGATAGAGAGCTCTTGCACTCTCAGAAAGCACCTATAGTTCTGCCAGCTCTGCTCCACTTGACAATGGAAATCCAATCATTATCATTTAAATCCTCTGTGTAACTTTATTTTTCAAACAATATCCCCCCATTAGTGGTATTCACAGAAACTATCATTCCTTCTAATTCCCAAAGATAGATAAAAACTAAGTGTAGGCAGAATACATTATTCTCAAAGTACATGAAATCAGAAGTCAGTACATTCAAAAAGACCAGGATAGAACATGAGTTCCATAATAGCAAAGAAATTGCTGAGAAATAAAAATGGCCTAAAATGGGTGACATAGAAGAAAGGCAATATGATTATTTTCAGAGAGATAATTTTCTACAGACATGGCTAAATCTTATGCTGGATTTCCTGCTTTGTTGTTTTGTTGGAATTAATATTCATTTCATATCTGGTCTATATATTTTTTTTTTCCTGATAATCTGTTATGAGAAGCTGAACTCTGTCTGGACAGTTCACTGTTCTGCCTGAACACTCTAAGTTGCCTCTACTTGAAACATCTCCTTGAAACCTCTCATTCTCATTGAAACCTCCAGAGAATCATTTCCTTACAGGCAACTTTCTTTATCAGCATAGCTTAGCCCTAGATATGGTCATTTTGTATTATTCTTCTTTCTGAAAACCCAGAAATTTATCTGTAATTGTAAAATTTTAGTAAATTGATGGAAAACTTACCAACAGATGCACAGAAAACAGTGAGAGGTGTTTTGTGATTTGAGACCAGGCTCTCAATAGTAGTAATAAAATTCTAAAGAATATAAATGCTTTTTTTGGGCGGTACAGAGATTTTAAAGTACTTTATTTGTTATTACAGGTAAGAACAAATACTACCACCTATTTGGGGGGTTTCTTTGTATTTATGTACAATTTTGAGTGGTTGTACTACAAACTTAACCAACAGGAAAGATATAAACTTACTATAAGATTGCACTCTGTTGTTTATCATGTGTTTTAGACCATGAATAAAAAATAAATCTTTCTCAGAATGTCGTCATTGCATTCTCTGGTGAAAATGATGAACAAATAAATCTCAAAAGTCATATTTCCAGGTCTATCTTTAGTCAGCTTCATGAGTTTAAATTCACTATTTCACTTCTCCATTCTTTAAATTCTATTCTCTTTTCCTATTTAGAGTGTTGATTTCACAGAGAAAAAACTGTACTGTGTCAAGGAGACATTCATCTTGATTAGGTCCTTTAGGTATTCCTGCAGCATGTACTTAGAATGCATCGTAAGTTTTCCTTCTCTTTATGATTATTTATTATTCATACTTTGATATTGTCTAGAGACCAATAAGTTAAGATTATTCCAAAATGCAATATGTAGACAAATATAGATGGCAGGTGTATCATTAAAGTTGGATGTATATACATAACATAATGGATTTAGTTACTACTACTATTTTCCAGTTAGATCTGAATTTTTACTTTTTTTTTTTTTTTTTTTACTTTTTTTTTTTTTTTTTTTCCCCCTCTCTCCTGATTCCAGCAAATGAATATGTGGTAATTCTCTAGTTGTTTTGCTTTCTTTAGTTGATAGCTCCAGTTTCTATTTTTGATATTTTGAATATTTTAATGGTTACTAATAAATTTAGTAGTGGTTTGGAGTCCTTATACATTTTATCCTTTATTTAAGCAGTTGAGAAGTTTATGAGGAGTTATTATCCAAGGAATATGGATTATTAAAGAAATAATAAGAGAAATTATATCATCAGCTGCTACATATAGCCATGTAACAACTTTTAAAAGTTTAGACCTAAGTTCAAAACTTTTGAAAATCTCAAAGATATCAGGAAAAAACATTTTAGTTTAACATGTTAGGTTTTCCTTTTGAACTAATTTTTGTAAGTACTAATGGTTTTACTGTCTCTCACATATCAGACCCAGATTCTGCCATCTTCCCCTATTTTTGCTTCAACAGTCACTGATGTAGAAATAAAAATTTTATTTCAGTCAATCAAAACTTATTCCAGATCTTATTTCAATCTCTGATTGTCCCATTGTAATCTAGCCATTAGGTAATTGTTAACAGCTGAAGATGATGACTTTCAGTATGTTACTGATACAAGTGAATATTTATCATTACTTGAAGTTGTAATGTCAGTAAAGCCAATAGAGTCAGTAGAATATGGGATCTCCGAGAATGATTCTAGTATATCAAATTAAATTATTACTTTGTATTTCAAGATAATGTCAATTAATAGCTTAAAACTGGATAATGACGCAAAAATAACAAAAACAATAACAAATTTTAAAATACACTTCAGATTGGATTTTTGACCTTATTTAGATATCATACATTGAAAGATTGTTTGCTGTTTTGTCAGTTTTGGTTTGTGTTCTGCAATTCTAACATAGCTAATTGTAGAGCATGAAACTACATAAATATTTCAAGAGAAGACTATGGTGTGACTTCTACACTATGTAATTGTCATTTAAAAAAAAAAAAAAAAAACTTTTATCTAAAGTTTACAAATATTTTTCTCTACAGGTACTATTTAGGATACGCTTCTCATAGTGTTGAAATCTCAAGTCGGTGGAGAGATGGAAAGGAATGAAGAAGACAAAAATCTTTACTTACCGATAGTTGGATCATGATAATCAGGGAACCGATGGCTTATGAACTGCATTGTCATTGCTGGAGAGAAGAAAGAGTATCAGAAAGAGATTGCTATTGTCAATACAAAATGACATCAGGGAAAACAACAAACAATTCACTTATTCAAGTATTAGTTTAGAAAGTGAATCAAAATTTTGTCTCATGTCTACAGAGAGATGTATGCATTTATATTATTAACTGGGCACTGATACATACTGATAAAAGTTATTTCACAGAATTTCCTCTTTTTAAAGTTGCATTTATCAGTGTTTAAAATTTTACATCTTTTTAACATCTGGTACATATTATTAACTCAATCTTGTCTAGAGAGGAATATCACTGTGATGAAAATTTTTGCAATACATTTCTAGTTCTGTCATAGTTCTGTCATTGAAGGAGGGAAGATTTAGGTTGGATGTTAGGGGGAAGTTCTTCACAAGGAGAGTAGTTAGGCCCTGGAAAGGGCTGCCCAGAGAGGTTGTGGATGCCCCGTCCTTGGACGTGTTCAAGGCCAGGTTGGATGGGGTCCTGGGCAACCTGATCTGAATGTGTACGTTTGGTGGCCCTGCTAGGCAGGGGGGTTGGAACTACATGATCCTTGAGGTCCCTTCCAACCCGGGTGATTCTGTGATTCTGTGATTCTGTGATAGTCCAGCTACACGAGGTGCTATAGACAGCATTTAAACAAATCAATTATAATTGTGAATTAGTTTTATAGAGTAATAAATCGGTCATTTATTATTATTATTTTTAAATATATGAAGCCACTGAGTTGTTTCTGTGATGACTATGGAACACTGATCACTCTGATGACAACTAGTAAAGTCAGTCACCTCACTGTGACTGCCAAACCAATGTATAGATACATAAATAAAGAAAAAAAACAGGATAGTTTGATCTGAATTAACAAAATACATTGTTTCATTTATTTTCCTAACAAAACAAAATTTCTAGTAAAAAAAGACCTTAAAGTTCCGATAAATTGTAGTAAAATGTAGGAAATAAAGTGTTGCAGTTAAACAGTCTAATACAGAATCATAGAATTATAGTGGTTGGAAGGGATCTCTGGCAATTATCAAGTCCAACACCCCTTCTGAAGCAGTTTCCCTAAAGTAGGTCGCAGAGCAAAGCATTCAGGCAGCTTTCAAGTATCTTCCAGGAAAAATCCATCATCTCTCTGAGCACCTTGTTCCAGCACTCTGCCACTCTCAATAGTTCTTCCTTGTTCCAATTTGTGCCCATTAACACTCTTCTGTCAGTGAGCAACACAAAAAAGCCCAGTTCCATTCATTTATTCCCATCCTTCAGATATTTATAATCATTGTTAAGATCCCATCTGAGGTTTCTCATCTTCAGGTTGAAAATCTCCTAGTTCTCAGTCATTCCTTTCTTGAACTGGAGAGCCCAGATCTCAACACACTATTCCAGGTATGATCTCACCAGAGATTATCACCTCCCTCGACCTCCTGGCCACAATCTTTTTAATGAAACCCTAGATGCAATTGGCTTTCCTGGCCACAAGGGCACACTGTTGGCTCATGGGCAATCTGTTGTCCACCAGGAAAACAGCCATGTCCTTCTCAATTGAGTTCTTTTTCAGCTGACCAACCCCTGAAATGTATTGATGCGTGCAGTTGTTCATCCCCAGGTGTAGGACACTGCACGTGCCCTAGCTGAATCTTATAAAGTTCTTCTCGACCCAACTCTCCAGTCTATCCAGGTCTTGTTTAAAGGCAGGACAGGCTTCTGGTATGTCAGACACTTCTCTCAGTTTTGTATCCGCAAACTTGCTGCAGGTGAACTCCATTCAGTCAGGTTAGTGATGATGTTGAACATGATCAGACCCAATACCAACCCCTGGAGAGCACCACTAGTTACGGACCTCCAACTAATCACCTTATAACTATCTTATATATGTCTTTTCCTTTCTCTAGTAAATCTTCAATAATTTTATACAAAGTGAAATAAATACAACAATCAGGTTAACTCTAATTATGTAATGATTTCTGAAACATCATAAATTGCAATTCTGGCATATGTAAGTGATAGATTATGTCTACTTCTGCATCCAACACAGTTGGTTTTTGTTTTATTTTTTCCTAATAAAGCTTGTCGTCACCCTATTGGAAATATTAGTGTAATGGAGGTAACTAGATCAATCTATGCCTGTGACGTGGGGAGGGGGCAGAGCCTTCAGGAAAATTGCTTTGCAATGTTTGGAACATGTGGCTTACTGGCAACCAGATTCCAATTAATGTAGAAAGCCAAGCAGTCATATCTTATCCACCTTTACATTTTGCTCATGCCATGTTAACTTGAAAGACTTTGAATAAGCACAAAGGTAGGCCTCACTGGGTGACCATAATGTCAGTAGTCCTCAGAAACAACAGCTGAGAAGTAAAGGAATCTGCCTAACATAGAGCTGTGAGTAAAATGCCTTCAACAGCAAAAGAAATTAATTCCAGTTGCTCAAAAACCAGAAAAGAAAAAAAAAGAAGGTAATGCATATTAATGAAAACAAACAAACAAACACTTTTTTCAAGTCAATTTCATTATTTTCATTTTTCATGTTTTTAATACCTGCTTTCAAATTTCTATATGGCGCATATGGGGCCATTTTACACAGAAACAAACAGATAAATACATAAATATCCTTTCTGAATTGTAACTAACTATTAATAATAATTATTCTGTCTTACTTTTATGATTTGTGATCAGTATTTCACATCAGAACATCAAGTAGTGTGTTGGGAGTTAAAGAGTTAATGGATTGTCAGTAATTCCAGTTAGCTGGTCTCAGAGGAGAAGAATGAACTAAAGCTCCCAGAAGACTTCATTATTAAATTTATGTTTTCCTTTCAGAGGGAAAGATATAACTGCCTGGGAGCCACAGAACTGACTCTTTTTGCCCACCTTTGCTCCAGGTGCTTCCTGACCATCTCATCTACAACATTAGAGTAAGGTCTTAAGTTTGGGACACTCTCTCATTTTATTCTATTTATTAGCCTCAATTCCAATTCTTTTGTATTATACCGTATTATCTCTCATTCTGCTATCATATTTAGTAGATCAGTTGTTTCCCTTAGCTCAGAGTGCCACTGTCTTTTCTTGTCTAGACCCATATCCCTACCTTTTCCCTTCTTCCCAGCCCTTTTTCTCAGGGCATGGGACAGTGGGTCCCTTCGTCCCATCATAGTCCATCACAGATGGGCTGAACCGTAATAACAGTCATAACATACAACAGCAAAGACAAGGCTCTGTAGTTCTGCCTTATATCTTGAACGTGTCAAATACCTTGAACAGAAGAAAGTATGAACAAGAAATTCCACATTCTGAAAATCCTGTGTATAAATACATTCATTTTTAAAACAGCATTATATTTGTTTAATGTTTGTCGTATTTATATTCTAAAGGAATCATGGGGTAAAGGAAATAGTTTTACAAAATATTACAGACAAGGAATATCAAACATTTATTATCATGTTAACAAATTATTGCATCTTTGGTATAGACAAATGTTAATGTTAGCATTATAAATGCTAACATTAATTAAATGTCAATGTTAGCATTATAAATTCTTAATAATTCAGGGAGTATAACTATATATAAAAAAATCTCATTCAGTTTATATATTATAAAAAAAAAATCTACTTGTGGTGATACTGATATATTTTATATTTGTTAGATAAGTTAGTTCTAAGTGCTACATAAGTTTGGACACTTTAATTTCCAGAACATTATTTCTGGAAAACTAGAGTGACATATTTAGTCTTCTATCTGATAATTGCTGGTGGTTTCTGAAGACTAAATTCATACTTAATGTGATATGTTTAGTTTATTCCAAAATGCAGGAGCATTACAAAAAATGTTATTCATTTGGGTTACACATACACAATTTGAGTATTCTGAGGGCTTACACCAAAATTAAACTGTTTTCATTACCTCCTGCCTTTTCCTTACTAAGTTTATTTTTTAAAGCAAACTACTGTTTATCGGTTCTCAGTCTGTTTCTTCTTGGAGCTATGCATCCCAAAATCTCTTGTTAACACATGAAAACAGGATTCTCAGAGGACACCCAGCACTCATAGTAAACATTTTTCCTCTCTCCTGAGGCAGATCCAAATCAATACATCCATTATGTACTCATCCAATCCATAGGATCTAAGAGGATTGAAATCAATTGTGAAATAAGCAGAAAGTTAACCACTGAGACTTGTAAAATTTCTCTCTCAGAAGAGTGTTCATAGACATCATTAAACATTGTGCAGCAACCTAGGTTGTACACAGTGCTTTGCTGGCAGAACTGAAAATAAATTTATGGCACAATTTATTATAAATGTCTTACTTCAGATGGAAATGGAGATGGTGAATATAAACTCTCTTAAATGCTCCTTACTCCAAAAATACTGCAATAACAACCCTTTTAGAGAGGTTTTTTGTTGTTGTTGTTTTTTGTTTTTTTTTTCCAGATCATCTCCTAATCACCAGGGTATATAACCTTTTCAGTGTCTTGAGTGTTTCATCACTTTCTGCAGGTGGGTTGGTACCTTCTCCAGGAAGAAGGCTACATGGTTTTGTTTTCTCAGACAGAAGGAATTCAGGTATTCAGAAGGTACTCTTTGATCTTTTCCATAATTAAAAATAAAATTTAAGAAAATTAAAATTTAAAATTTTAATTAAAATTAAATTCTTAAACCCAAGAAAAAATAAGGAAATTGGAGTATAATATATGAGAATTGTAACCAATCTTCTTCTGCATGTTCTTCAAAATGAAAAAAAAAAAAAAAAAAAAGCTTTTTCTGTTAAAGCTTACTGAAGTAGGCTTAAACCCTTGTCCTGTCACTGGGCTTTTGATCACAGATGTTTTATAAAGGGGCTTTTCAGGGGAAGCTTTTTTTTTTGTTTCTTTTTTTTTTTTTTAAGCAGTCAGAATCAACCCATTTTCATTCTTTCCTGCTTTGAACAGAATGTGCTGCACTTCTGAGACACTGCACTCTGTCTTATTTTTCTATCATTTTCAGAGAAATCTGATGAAATAA